GGTGAGACGATGTGAGGATTTTTTTTAAACACCCACTTAGTTCACATGTGGTTCAACACTCCTTGTGTTGCTATTTATTTTATTTCTAACGTCTATCCTTTAAATCCCTTTTTGCGGAAAATCATAATTTAAATCTATGCACTACTTTATGGGGAAAATATATAATTCCAGCCTTTAAATTACTGTTGCACAATCTATCATCACCACTACCAAGTTCACTAGGCAACTGTTTTTAAAAAAAAATTCAGTGGGCTAAAAGGAAATGAAAAACTGACGTGCTAGACCAACTACACCACGACACCTTGCGACTCTGTTAATGCAACAAGCATATATATTATGACGTCATCATCACCTATAGGCTTAAAAAGGAAATGAAAAACTGACGTGCTATACCAACTACACCACGACACCTGTACAGTTCGTTAACGCATCATATTAGATTTATTATTAAGCCAGTATTAGAGGACCGATTATGACGTCACCCTGGGGGTACATGCCCTTTCCCTGTCTAATTATGTTAACGCATCATAATTTAAATCGATTATTTCTAGTGGTAATAAACCGACTTCCATTGAAAGCGGCCAATTGTGACAAGAAAAATAGAAGGTGGGGGGAGGGTCGATGAGATCGACGTGGTCTGTTCCGTCTCCGAGATGCGTGGTTTTATCGAAACGTGTCAATGTCACCGTCAAAAGATAGAACACATGATGGAGAAACCCCGGTTGTGTTACCTCAAGCTTTTTAGGGCTTTTGCCATCGTTTATTTGTGGGGCATGTTTGATAGCTTAGCGATTACAGCTTTTCTCATTATATCTTTCTTTACCATGTTGGTATCTTTATATTATCTTTCATCTATTGTTAGTGACTGCATCGGTGGGTGGCAAGGAGTGGTATTTCTATAGCCTAAAGGATCGGAAATATGCGACGGGGCAGCGCACGAACCGAGCTACTGTGTCGGGGTACTGGAAGGCAACCGGGAAGGATAGGGTGGTGGCACGACGTGGTGCGCTAGTGGGGATGAGGAAGACATTGGTGTTCTACCAAGGGAGGGCCCCTAAGGGGAGGAAGACGGAGTGGGTGATGCACGAATACAGGTTGGAGGGTGCGCATGAGCAAGCTTCCAAGGTAATAAGCTGCCGCTAAAACCCTAGATCATGCATGAAACAAATGAACATATCATATGTAATGTTCAGTGAGTAGCGGTTTGCAAAGCCATCGATTTATTTATTTATTTTCCGTTATGCAAAACATATTCATCTGCATAGCTATGACCTAGGTAGGTACAAATTGGGTGGGCACAACCAATCGTATAGGAGATTTTTTGCAGTGTTTAAGCTTGTATTTAATAGTTGTTTTCAAGTTTGACGTACTGTACACATGAGATGGACTTCTTGACCTGTCACTTTCTGTTCATTTATTTATATTAAAAAGAAAAGAAAAAAACCATCTACTTATTGGTTGCTACTTGCCAATTAATTTTCTAGGGGGACTGGTCATTTTCATCCACCGGTTTTGTTGCGGTAGACGTCCTATTTAATAAGGACTAATTTGTTCTAATTTTTAAAATAAATAAAAGGACAATGGTGGACTGATCTTAACATGTAGTATAGGTTAGCTGTTATGGATAATGACAACTTATACCAACTACTTGAAGTACCATTTTCTTTCGTCTCAAATAGTTCAATGATTTTTATTGTTCAAATAGTTCAATGAAGTTCATATTAAACATTGTTTAAAAAGATAGTAGAAGCACTAAACTTTCTTGGTGTTATGATTTTTATTGCGATTGAGCATAAAAGCAGACACACCACCACATGGATGCAGTCGCACAGAGGCGCTCCTCTAAAACACACTTACAACTGATAGAGACCGGGAATAAATATACGGTTCTGACAAAGTTCTTAATGAATTTCATATGTAAACTTGTGGTGACTTTGGAAACAGGTTGGTCATCTATAATCTAGGATAGTGGAGTAGACTAGTTAGATTCTTAGCAAGCTTTCTCGCAAAAAAAAAGAAGATTCTTAGCAAGCTGCAAAATAGGTAAACTTATCCAATCCAAAACAAAAAGAGGTGATCAAACAAAGTAACCAAAATGTAAAAGGTAAAACTTATCCAATTTTCCAAAAGAAAAGGAAAAATTCTTGGTTGGATGCATGAACCAATTAGGGTTACATAGGATGGTCCTGTCCACATCACTTCACTGTGACAAGTGATGCACTCAAGAGCAAGTACAGTGACAGTGATCACCAAGATCTCATTCACATCACCTTGTAAGACTGCACCTACCATTGAACTACTGACCAATCAATGCTCTCTTCTTGATCCTCCATGTGTTTTCAGCAGGAGGACTGGGTCCTGTGCAGAGTCATCTGCAAGAAGAAATCAGGAGTTGGTGCCACCCCCAGGCCAAGGAACCTCAGCAACATTGTCCATGGCACACCCACAGACACCTCCTCACCACCACTGCCACCTCTCATGGACACCACCCTAGCACAGCTCCAGGCCACCATGAACACCTCCGCCGCCGCCGCCGCCGCCGCACTTGAGCAAGTGCCCTGCTTCTCCAGCTTCAGTAATAACAGTGCCAGCAACAGCAGCTACCTCCCCATGGTGACAGGCAACAGTAATGGCATGGGCTACATGGACCATGGCCTGCCTGACTTTGGGAGCTACCTAGACCCCGCCATGAACTGTGACAAGAAGGTCCTTAAGGCAGTGCTGAGCCAGCTTAGCTCCATGGGTGGTGAGGTGGTGCCGAGCATGTCTCCTCAGATGGCTGCTGCAGTGAGCTCTACTTGGAACCACTTCTAGGCAAATTTGTTTATTTATGCAGACAACATAAGCAGACAACTGGCTAGCTAGTAGTTAATCTGCAGTGTGTGTGTGTGTGTGTGTGTGTGTGTGTGTGTGTGTGATGATTTCATATCAAAATGTATAATTATGTCTGTTTGGTGCAATGTTTCTTGAGTGTGAGTATTAGTAGAGGACGCGATGATTTTTTTTCTCCAGTCGATTTTGAAGGACTAAAACCCTGGAATGATTTTATTTTTGAAGAATTCTCTAATGATTGTTGAACTATGTACATTCATAAGTACAGGTTGCAGTGATAAGAGATATCAGTTTTTTTTTCATCAAGTTTGGATTGCTTACCACATGTGTCACGTGGTAGTGATCGGACAGATCAGATCATTGATGTCCCACTGAATGTTAGACATGCTTTCTCCCCTTAATGAACATCATGGTTGATTGGTGAATGCATCCTCAATAGCCTTAATGGCATGATTCTCACAGTCCCAAGAACAAATTAATTCAACTGATTCCAGAACGAAGCCCACATAAATAGTAGCAGTATTGGAGCTTGTATCAGAATCAGTCCAGATGCAGAACTGGTGTGTCGCTGAAATTCATCTAGAAAAGTAAACGTCATACTTACAGTATAACATTCCTGCTTGCAAATTCTGGTGCAAAAGATATGACTGCACGTGCCCTGCAAAAAATTTATAATATTACGTGCGGAGAAGAGAGAATATGGATGGCACACGCAACCCGTTATACTTTGGATTACCTGATCAACGATACCTGGATACCGTGTTAGTCCAAATTTTATTTACTTTTCCCATTTAATTTTTTTATTGGATGTGTGGAAATCGTATGCATATACTCCCCCCTCAAATTTCTCATATGCTATAATATTTTGGTATGTTTTGTAATTATATTGTAATTGAAATAATACGACATAGTTTTTATGCTGGAGGGAATGTGTTATTCAGTGAGAAAGATGCAAATTGTTGGGTAGATGGTTTTTTTCAACGACGACACACAAATTGAGGAACAGTACTGAAAGGTCCTGTTTCTCTTTCAGTGCCCTGTTCTGTTGTTCTGTTCTTCATATGCTGGCCAGCTGCATGAGTGAGAGTGACCACCCTTCTCTGCTTGATGGCACCTTTCAGGGTACCTCATGTCATGAATACTAGTACCATATGCGTATAGCAACAAGTCTTGTACATCCATACCAATAATGTGGAAGAGTAAAGTGCAGAAACAAAGGACAAGCTGTATTTGAATGAATCTAGGCAGCAGCAGCTGCTAGGTAATGCTATCTTCTCTTATCTTTAAACATGATTTATTTAACTTCAAACATATTTACACATGATTTATGGTCCCAATTTTATGTTTTATCGACTCTAATATCAACTACTTTTCTTTCAGATCCTTTTTTTTCCAGAAAAAATCGTACCCAAGCACAAGTTTTTAAGAAGAAAAAAACCCATGCAATCCAACATTTTCTTTATGCAAAACGGTCAGTCGGACAATGAACACATCTAGGTTGTGATAATAATAGATTGTTAGGCTGATGTGCTGCACCAGTGGTAATCACTTAGCTCCTAGTTGCATGTTGACTGAATTTTTCCGGAGATGCCTGATAGGCTACCATGCATGTGCTCCTTCTCCGATAAATCTACATCAACCGACCAACTCCTGAAATTTTTGCCTCATTAAGTCCACAACTAAGGCTGGTGCTGGATGCATCATTTCAAGCAACTCCAAACAACTTCACTGTTCAGGTAATAAAACAAGAGTTCCATGCAGTACAACAGGTACAAACTGTTGTGAAAGACCAAACCTCACCAGACATACTTGTCGAACGATGCAATGTATCATCCAATTGAGCAAATGCGGCCAAATGCCGGGACAGTTGTGAGTACTGGTTTACAACCACAAAGTAGTAGAATTGAATGGTGCAATAACTTGATCTAATTTAGGAGCTGATCTAGTTAAAGCCCCATAACCAACCAGGGCTTATGTGCCTGCACATTTCAGACCAGGCAAGGTGATATACAGTTGTAGACCAAATTTAGCACACTTGCAGCCTTGAGCACACTTCCTCCTGAGATCCAGCTCCCACATGCAACCAAACTGGCTCACATCACTTCACATCCCAGTGACATGAGCAGTGTACTCTTGGGTATGGACTGTCTGAGCTGAGGTACTAGTGCTCATTGGCCTGCGACGATGCCACGGGGAGAGGTGGCTGCAGCTGAGAGCAAGTTCAGGGCTAGCATGAGCGCGACGCCGACGAATGAGGACACGAGTGATACGCCTCCACGGTTGCAGAAGGAACCAAATTTGTTGCATATCGGGTTCCAACGCGTGTGCAAGTTACCATTCTTGCCTAACTCGGCCATCGAAGCCGCTGTCGCGGCACCGGTGGCCAATAGAACCATGATTACCTGGGACATTGACAGTACAAGGATGAAAATATATCATGTCTTGCCGTCCATTGATACTGGTTTGAAATTTGCCAGATGTGCCACAGTACTAGTTGTCTACAATACAAAGTACAGCACCAGCAGTTTCACTCAAGCCACTGGTTCTGGATAGTTGCAAAAAGATTCTTGATTAGATCGAGTGCTGTGTTTTTATAGTACCACCGTCATAAGGCTCCAAATTTATCAGATATCCCTGGATTGTGTATGAGCATCTAAATTTAAGATCAATACGCTTGCTTAGACTAAGTTGGTTACTCCATTAAAATATTTTTGTGAGAAACAGTCCAAAGATACTCTGATGAAAGTGTGAAACTACTACCGGATGAGCGAGGTTTTGTGTAAGTAATGGCCAGTAGAACCATGATTATCTTATTTGGGACATTGAAATTCCGAGGAAAATATATCATGTGTTGCCGTCGATCGACACTGGTTTGAGATTTGCCAGATATGCTACAGTACTAGGTGTCTACAATACAAGTGCAGCACCAACAGTTTTTCACTCAAGCCACTGGTTGTGGATAGTTGCTTGCAAAAAAGATTCTTGATTAGATTGAGTGCTGTGTTTTCATAGTAGCACCATTAGAAGGCTCCAAAATTTTCAGATCTTCCTGGATTGTGTAGGAAAAACTTCATTTAAGACCAATGCACTTGCCTAGATTGAGTTGGTTGCTTCTCTCGTAGATGTATTCGATATTCGATCTACTAAAATATGTTTATTAGGAGCAGTTAAAGTCTACTTACTCTGATGAAAGTGTGAAAGTACTGCTGGGTGAGGTTTTCTTTGAGTAAATAATGGTCAGCTTATAGATAATGTTAAGTGTCATTTAATCGGTAAATTACTATTAATTGAGAAAAAAGAAATTACCATGTCCATCCTATGCACTACCAAATGCTGGGCCCTTCCCTGCACAAGGCACCTTCTGGTGAGCAGCACCACCAAGTTATACAGACTGGCAATGCCATTGGCTATGACAAAGCACCTGCGAAATTGACGGTTTACCGTCACAGAGACAGCATGTCAGTAAATTCGACAGGTAATGGCAGCAAGCAAGCAAGCAAAGCAAGGAGTCCCCTACACAAACGCAGGCGTGTCGCTGAACTTGGCAGTGAAGGTCTGCGTGAGCGGCCTGGTGCCCACAATGGCCACCACCGCGGTGTAGGACTGCCTGTTGAGCCCCATGACCACCGCGGCCACCGCCGTCGCCAGGACCGCCGCCGCTCGCAGCAGGACCGGCCGCAGGCCGACGAGCTTGTCCTTGAGCGAGCATAGCTCCGCGGCGGCAATGGCAGGGGGCTTCTTGCCATGCTCGAGGTCCATTGGTTGACTGTGAAGAAGAACCTCAGGAGGTCTGGGGTGATCGGAGTTGGTGCTTTTGGGAGGGAGATTATATGCTGGTATAATGGTGATCCCAAATTTGAGGTGATCGGATCTTGCAAGTTTGGGTGACTTACCAAACCTCAAAACCGTAAATTATGGGCTACTTTGTTTCTATACTTCGTGAGTAAGCTCGTCAAGAAAAGATGTTTCTTTTTAGAGTCGTTTGAGACTTGTGATACGGGTGGAAAGTGAAGTGCCACAGAAGAGCATTTTTTGTAGAGGAATTTGCATCTTGAGTATGACAGGGGGAGCGTGAAGTGAGGGCAAACTGTGGCACACTTCACTGGGAGAGGTACTAGTTTCCTGGTTAGGTACATCTAACATGAGAAATTATATGATTTGACCTTGCTTTTTGGGCAAGATTTCTTTAAGATTTAAGGAATGTATAAATAGTTTTACATTGGTAGCAGAACACCAATGGGGTGGTGGCGCAGTTGGCTAGCGCGTAGGTCTCATAGCTAAACGTGAGTGATCCTGAGGTCGAGAGTTCGAGCCTCTCTCACCCCAAACCTTTTGGATTTTTTTTTATTTCCTTGGTGCTAACATCAAAATATGTTTTAGATACATATATAATATTTAACTTTTGTATGGTGTTCCATTTCGTCTGAGTTCCTAGTTATTTTTTGTTTAAATTATGGTCCAAAGTACCCAAACATTGAGGTCGATTTTTCAGTTGACCATTTGCGATAATAATAAGTTTGAATTTGAAACATAACATTTCACTTTTGTGATCATGCATATACATTCCTTACTAACTGACCACAACATATATGGCGTTGTGTAAGAGGAACATTATTCAGAAAATTAACATTTCAACACCACAGCCTGTCCTTTCTTACAGAGCAAACATGGACTTGATCATGAATGATTGCACTTCGTCTCTACGGTCCCTTGGCCCAGTACCATGTCAGGTACGGTGTATAAATACCCACAACTACAAATACACGTACGATACAAACATGCACTTATTCGCTGCTACGCTGTAGAGATGTACGTAAAATAAAATACAGCCTTCAAAGAATTATTCATCACAATAATTACAGTCGTTTAATTACCAATCATTGACAGGTGGGGCCAGCCATATGCAAAGTTATTTGCTGTTATTCATCCAGAACGAGAGGCCCCTCCAGGACAGGACACAGGACAGGACAGAGAGGATTTGATCACGCAGTGAGGTCTGACAGTGCCCACATTTTACATACAAAAGAATCTAGGGGGTAAGCAAAATACAGTTTTTTTCCGTATTATCCACACCCGCACTCTCTTTTTTTGTTGGCGCAGTCCGTTTACGCGCTTCGGGGTTTTCTTCTATGCGACCGATCGGTCGATCACCAGACACGAGTATAATACAAAGTGTTCCCAACTCCAGATTATAAGACACAGAACAGGGCATCACTTGGTACAAGCGCTGACATGTTTTGCTACTTTTTCCCGCCGGACGTAACCCCGACTACGACGTTGCTCACCTGCGAAAATGTGAACGGGTGGTGTGAGCAATGCGGGATAGCTTCACTGGGCAACACAAAGTACAAATGCAGATTGATTGGATGGTGGTAGCAAAGCGCAGAGGCGGCTTACCAATTTTCCCTTGTCATCTACTGTCATTGGGTTTTCGACGACCACCGTTACATTCTGCGATTGAGCGGATGGCTGACCAATACAGGGGAAAGGGAAAGGGAAATTAGAAGAGGTAAATCACCTTGGAATTCACGGTGAAAGCTCAAAGAGCTCATCATATGCACATACCGCAGAGGTCGATGGGACACTATATGAAATTCCGTTTGGTGCATGCATTGTAGGTGGCAAAGGTCTCACGGTGTTCATCTGGGATAAGAAAGACAAATAGATTAAATAAGCCGGTTTCACTGAGCATTTGCAGCACAAAGAGATCCAAAGAAGATTTTGACATACTCCGATGTTCGTAATAAAATTGCAGATAGCACATTTGACAGAAGATGCTCCGTATGGATACATTAACACCGTCTGGCACTGGCCACAGTTCACATGAGCTATACTATTCACTGCACCATGAACAGATAGAATTCGTCAAGTGGAGAACAGATAAATAGAACACATATGATACACACAAAGGGAGCTTAAACATGCATGAGGTATAGGAACAGAGAAGGAGAACATGCTAAAATGTTAGCATTTTATTGTCTTTACATCCTTCTTAATCAGATTAATTTAACAGTACTGCAGAAAAAAGAAGCCGTGCACATGCACATGTACAACGGTAACAGAGACAAGCAATACATGTCAACTTTCCAGGAGCATACATTGCCAAATCCACAGAGCACATGATATAAGGTGAAAATACAATAAACTTGCCCACAGAGAAATAGTTGCTTGAGCAGCATGGGTGATGTTTGACTACTTTCCAGTCTTGACTTTGAAGGCTGGCCTTGACTTTATGACCAGTAAATCCATACATGCAGGGTTTGTGATATAAAAACAAAACAACCAGCAATGCGCTCTACCCCACAAATACTATCTTGTATTTACAGCTTGAGACAACATGAAACTGGTGCGATCAAACTTACTAGAAAATCAGCTAATTTCAAGGCATACGAAGTTTCTGTTAATCAAGCTACACCTGGGGTAAATAATGATAATACTTTCCTAAGGTATTGTAGCATCAACTTGAAAACTCTCCTGGGTTCTATGCCTGAGTAACCCTTTCTGACTTTATAGAACAGATATTCCATTCATAACTACAATTTCAACTTACAAGCTCAAGGATCTACAGAATAATTCGACACATACATCAGTACCTGGCGGTGCTGGTCTGGCAAGGTTGACTGTATCACAACATGAGCATCTGACAGTAGTTGCATTGCGAGTATACATCAATAAAGTTCGACAGCCGACGCATATAAGCTGAGCCATCTCCATTCCTGAAGAAGAAATTTACTCACTTTTTCATAAGCATGCAACTAGATATTTGAAGCACTACCAACAAACCAAGAGCGTACAACAGTATGCAGCTACAAGGCTAGGAATGGGTAAAAGATTACCCACTGTCCAATTTCAAATGCATGGGCTGACCCGTTATAATGAACACAACAGAACATGTAAATAATCACTAAAACACTTGATATATGGTGATAAGGCATAAAAGATAGAACAGCACAGTGGAGGATAAATCTGCCCAGAGAAAGCAAGGAAGAGGCGTCACACATGGCAAAGCAGAACATAGACCCAATATACATGGCAAAGGAAGGAAGATGTATCTAATGTAGACAACAAAACTGTTTAAGCAATGACAGCTAGATTAGAAGGGTTCTATCAGCTACTAATTTTTGTTAAGATGAACCAATATGGATTAACCAGAAGACAAATTTGTAAGGGGGCTGAGCATAAGTGGGTTGAAAGTAACCGCACAAAAGTAGGTAGATGGGTCAAATAAGGAAGGGAAAGTTCATGTTTCTGCCACCAGTCACCCAAAATGTCATATCAGCATCCCCAGTCCAATGATCTAAATGACAATTATAGGAAAAATCCCCATGGATTCAAATCCTCCATAATTCCTACGGAAATTCTACAATCCAAATAGGCTCTTAGTAGCAACCTCAATCTTCTGAACCCCACGCCATACTGATCGAATTTAACATTTCTCTGGGGAGTACACCACATGGTACATCATTGATCCACCAAACAATGTGAACCACGATTGATGAATGCGCATGTTAAGCTAGTAGAACCAAACCTAGAAATGGACAGCACATTCTAGGAATCTATCTACTCTCTTAGGCTATAAAATTGGCATGTGAGGTTTCCCACAACCTGCTATAGGATAAATTAGTCCTAGTGTGTCCCTCCTTCATTTCCCTACCCATTCATCAGCACCCCACTACCACATATGGAATATGATCCAGAACATTATCAACAAAATTGAACATAACACGATCTTGTTTGCACCTTTTGTGTTCAAAAATTGCACAAGTGGCGAAACCAGAGCTCGGGCATGGCCGTTACCTGGAGGCGGCGCGCTGGTGACGGCGTGGCACACGGCGCAGCACACGCTGGGGGCCCCTCTGGGGTAGAGTAGAACGCTCCTGCACCCATGGCACACGATCTGGCTCTGCATGCCTGCAAAATCCCGACCAGGCCTGTCAGGGCGTAGCAGTAGATAGTTTTTCATACACCAATCCGATGATGCTCTGCCCGCTGCTCCATCCGAATCCTATCGCCCAACGCGTATCAGCACCTTGCTCTACCGCAGGGCCGTCGAAACGCGATCAATTAGCACGGGGGACGCTGGAATCACCATGGGAAGCTCCAATTTCGAGAGGACCCAAATCCTGCTGCTGCTCCAGCATGCGCCCACCCTCTGATGATTCCAGGTCGATTTCTCCAGGGAAGCAACGCGATTCTGATCGCGGCGCGAGCAGCCGCGCCGCCGAATCGACGGGGGCGGCGAGAAAAAAACATCGGATTCGACGCTCACCTCAAGAAGAGCCGAGCAGCGAGGAATCCCTTGCGAGAATCGGTTCCGGGAATGAAGGGGGCGAGCGCCTTCCGCGGGGGAGGAGGGAGGGGAGGCGCCACCGATCTAGCTAGCCGCACACGGGGACCTCGAGGCGCTTCTCGCGGAGGACGGGGAAAATGGCGGAGAAAAACTTATTGACGGGCAGACAGCGGCGGTTGTGGCTTGGATTTATTTGGCAGGCGAGACGAGAGGTTGGAGACGACGGAGGAGGAGACCGCGTTGCGTTGCGTCGGTCTCACTCTTCTCTCTTCTTCTCCTCCCCTTCCGTCACATGTTGCAAGAGTCGTGGGCGACCGTGTCAATGAACAACACAATTCCTTTTCTTTATCTCTACATCCCTATTCTTTCCCAGCAGAATTCAACCCCCTGTTTTACTTGGAAAATTTTATGAAACATATGTTTTTACATATATTTTCTCACTTTTCAACTTGTGATCTTGTGGCACATTTCACCTGTTGTATTAAATTTTCTACTTAAAAACCCATGCACAAGTCACGGTCTGACCTTATGAATATATTTTTTATCTTGACTGTTTGTTTGGACCAAAATAGAAGAATTACACATGCCACGGTGACATGTCAGCCAATAATATTGGACTGACAACTCAGATACGAGATACATAGGGCATCTTCTGACATGGCATAATGGTTTGGTGCGGTGTGACTGGTTTAGCCGCAATAAATTCTAACATGAGTGCACCTACGAATCTTGTATTATTTGTTAGCGTTAGGTAGTGGCAAATAATGCATCAATGGAATAGGCACCAACTGACATCTTGGTTGTTATGTTCAAGGGACGTGGCGATGAGGCGCTCAAAGAAGTTTACGAAGAGGAGACTGAATTGTACCGAATTTTTCATGATAGCGGAGGGATCATCGATGACTTCACACATGTTACTAATAATGAGTTTATAAGTACACCTATCATATCTCATACTATTAAATTAAAGCGAATCACTTTGGAAATTATATGTAAAGAGCAATTGGTGGTATTGTTAGTCAAGATATTGTTATGCACTTGCATGACTTTGCTGAAATATGTGATATGAAAAGGTTTAAAGATGTTGATTCAAAAGTTGCCGGGTTGAAATTATTCCCTTTCTCATTAAGAGGTGAGAATGGTTATTTTCTTTTCCTAGTGGTAGCATTAATTATTGAAAATCTTACAAAGAGTACTTTATTGCTAATGTTACCCTCTTGCTAAGATTACCCAAATGAGGAACAAAATTATGAACTTTAAATAAAACATCAATGGACATCATGCTCAATCTTGGGGATTTATTTTTGAAATGACACCATAGTTTAGTCCGGAGAAGTTCAACCTACCATGATACAGCTCCTGAAGCATTTATATTAGTATATCTCTCAACTAGGGCCAAAAAGCTCTAAAAAGCTAACATAGAAGCCATCTGGACCTGGAGCAGTATTTGTTTTCATGCTTTTCACCACCTTGTCTATCTCTTCACTCATGAAGTTAATAAAAATGTGCTTTAAAAGTACCCTACACATGGACTTAATGACCAGCTTATGCTTCAAACCTTTTGTGGCCTTAATCAGACACAAGGGTGAGAGAAGTATCTTTTGAATAACATGATGGTAAATTATTGCCAATGGCATACCAAAAGAGCTACATTTTTCTGAAAGGGTAAATTCCACTTATTTATTTTGTGGGTAAAAGGGGTGAATTCTATTTATTTATTTTGCAGGTAAAAGGGGTGAATTCTATTTTTTTGCCGGTAAAAGGGGTGAATTATATTGATGAGATGGAACGTCTAGATGTTAAAGTTGATATAATTATGTGCATTCTTTCTACTAAGGATGTTTCTAGCATTGATGATGTCCCTCTTGGTGCTTTAGTTGAGAAAAACAAAGGCCAAGTCGATGTAAATTTCATTGCTAGAAATATCAAGCAACAAATGCATATATGAACAATTGTGGAAATTATTATTCTAGGCATCATCCCTCAAGTAATAATAATTACAATAATGGTAATGTCTCTAAGGAACTTAGGGTCATATTCAAAACAATTGCCACTCAAAAGAAAGGGGAAGGGAATTTAGTGTGGGGTTCGAAAAAATGATGTGTTGTCTGGAAAAGATGATGCACTAGCTAATGAGGTATCTTACATTAAAAATGCATTAAAGAAGACAAAATGTGATTGTATGGAGATCCTCGAAAGTATGCAAGCCACCATGGATGATAAGAAGTGTGAAACTTAGAAGATGGCAGAAGCTAAAAGATACCAATATATGCATGATGACCCACAAGTATAGGAGATCGGAACAATCTTGGAGGGTAGTATTTCACCCAAATTTATGATTCGAAACAAGGGGAGCCAAAGAATGTTTATAAGACTTAGCAGTTGAGTTGCCAAAGAAACTCTTCTGGTGTCCAAATAGCATCGTCCTATATATCAATCTTTACCTCAGGACCATTGCAGAGCTCTTCATCATGTCTGTGATCTCATCTGGGACTCCAAACAACATTTGGTCACCAAATCACATAACTCATATAATACTATATCATCAATGGACGTTAAGCGTGCGGACCCTACGGGTTCGAGAACTATGTAGACATGATCGAGCCACCTCTCCGGTCAATAACGAATAGCGGAACCCGGATGCCCATATTGGTTCCTACATATTCTACAAAGATCTTTATCGGTCAAACCTTATGACAACATACGTAATTCCCTTTTGTCTATTGATATGTTACTTGCCCGAGATTCGATCGTCAATATCTTCATACCTAGTTCAATCTCATTACCACCAAGTCTCTTTACTCGTTCCATAATACATCATCTCATAACTAACTCCTTAGTCACTTTTCTTGCAAGCTTCTTGTGATGTGTATTACCGAGAGGGTCCAGAGATACCTTTCCGATACTCAGAGTGACAAATCATAATCTCGATCCATGCCAACTCAACAGACACCTTCGGAGATATATGTAGAGCATCGTTATGATCACCCACTTACGTTGTGATGTTTGATAGCACACAAGGTATTCCTCCGGTATCCGGGAGTTGCATGATCACATGGTGGAAGGAATATGTATTTGACATTAAGAAAGCAATAGCAATAAACTGAACGATCATATGCTAAGTTAACAGATGGGTCTTGTCCATCACATCATTATCCTAATGATGTGATCCCGTTATCAAATGATAACTCATGTATATGGTTAGGAAACCTTAACCATCTTTGATCAACGAGCTAGTCTAGTAGAGGCTCACTAGGGACACGATATTTGTTTATGTATTCACACATGTATTTAAGTTTCCGGTCAATACAATTCTAGCATGAATAATAAACCTTTATCATGAATAAGGAAATATAATAATAACAACTTTATTATTGCCTCTAGGGCATATTTGCATCGACAAATGCGTCCTTCATTACATCGCATTATCCAGAAAGAAAATAGTCTTATAGACTCTAGTCGTAGGCTAGTCAAATACATAGTCTTACAATAAGCAAACGGAGTTCAACACAAGCGGAAACGAAAAGCAAATCTAAGGTAAATGTCTTGAGAGGCTCCATCAGCACCACGGGGAAGCATGTCGAGTGGAGACACAAAACCCTACGTAAGTCACTCCTCGTAGAAATCACCTGCAACATGATACGTTGCAGCCACTAGGGTCAATATGTGGATTGTATTGGCAAGTCCACAGTTCATTGGTAACCTATTCACCTACTTGCACTTTGACTGGTGGGGTTCAAGGCTCTTTTGCATAAAATAGTTTTGCCTTGTTATTTATATAGTGGACTACTCTAATAGCAATATGACACTCCCGGTAAAGCCTCGGCCATAGTCTATAGGCACTCCCAGTAAAGCCCCGGTCGTAACCCGATGCAATTTGAGCGTGTGGGTTCCCCAGTAAAGCCCCGGTTTCTCCAAACCTTTCTTTAATTAAGAATTCCTGGTAAAGCCCCGGTCCTTTGAGATCAGCTCCACAACTCCCCGTTGGTTCAACCCATTGATTTTAATTAAGAAGAGGTGATGAGATCAAGCTGACATCTCTCAGATGAGTTGCTCAAGTTGTCCATAACCTGGGACATGACTAATCATGATCATTTTTATACACTCTACAGAGGTTTGTGTACTTTACCCATGATTCTCGCTCACACCCTTGAGCCACTAAACTTCACTCGTGAAGTAGCTAGGTAGACCAAGACAAGACTTTTGGGCAGCAATAGCCCCCCAGAAAAGGCAGACCCAGTCTAACTACACACCTATAGCGACACACTTGGAGAGCAGCCAGTGGGAGCGCAACGGGCGTGGGAGACCTGCATGAGCGGTGCGGAAGACATACACGGGGGCGTTGTTGACCGAGGCGGGGGTGCCGTTGACCGGGGCGGTGGTGATCTTCAGGGCCATGGGATCCAGACTCCAGAATGACAACGTTGACTGAGCCAGCCCGATCTCTAGATGGTGTCGAACCAGCTCGATCTGGAGGCAACCTTGACTGGAGCGGCCCAATCTCCCGATCTGGAGACACCGTTGACCAGGGAGAATCCTGGCAGGGCACGTGAAGTGGGAGGGAGGGGAGCGCGAGATGGCCAGAGGAAGATGGCGGCATTGCAGGGGGAGGCAGCGTCTGACCGAGAGGAGGTTGGCGGCGGCGCAAAATTGGATATGCACGAGTTGCGCGT